AATTAAAAAGCCTAACTAATTTAATTTCATGAATATGATAGGCACAGGCACATATTACAGATAATAATAGATATTTTGTATTATTTCAATAGGGAAAATAATTAAAAAAATGTTTATTTTTAACTCATTAGTTTTTTTGTTCATTAAAAGTTTATTTTAGACGACTATTCGCCGAATGCCGAATACTGCTAGCTATTATTCGGTATTCGACGAATATCAAAAAAATGACGAGTAATGCCGAATACCGAATAATAGCGAGTATTCGTGGCAACTCCAGTCTAGACTCATCTTTTTTAAAAATTCCTTAATTGTAAATAATTTATTTTTGAGTATTAACAAAAAACGACAGAATTATCCGTGTGGTAACGGATTAAGAATACGGAATGTCACCACCCCTATTCAACCCGTGGGTTTCGTAAGAGCCGACTAAGGGAGCAAACTACGCAGGACAACAGCACTGCAAAGAGAAGGAAAACTTGACACAAACCCTATACCAACCCGTCTGGCCAGGGTGGTATAGTAGGCCAAAACCTCCTTTCTAAGGAAAGGCCTATGTCCTGCAGTGGACTGTTGATGATGTGAACAAAAAACGAAATACTATCTTTTTTATCTTAATTTGTGAATAGAAATTGCATTTTTTTATGTGCTAATACATACTTTCAATACATTTTTCTAGACGTCATTCCAAATCCAAGCTTTATCAAGGATTAACACGTTTTTGAACTTGTTGACTAGCCTATAAGTACGTGTTTTTTGTACACACCCAGTTTGGCTCCCAAAGGGAGGCGGGACGAGAACACTGGACGTAGTAGGATGCGGGTTGCCCTTACTCGCGCGATAGTGCTACAGACATGTGGCTTCATAGTGAGACGGTGGTCGATGGTGATGCCCAGGTACTTCACTGTGCTCCTCCATGGGATAGGTTCATGTGTGCGTTACCCCAGCAAAATAATGTCGAAAATGGTCATTTAAACTTTATAGATAATTAGTTGCTCCCCTTCTGTAATTGTTAGGCACATTTTTAAATTTGTTTCACTTAAACTTTTTTAGTTATTTCAAAAAAAACATTTCCTGCTGCGGTAACGTTTGAAACGTTACCGCAGCCAGACATTTTCTTTTTTAATTGTAATATTGAAATAAATTTTAGCTAGATAATTAGTTATCTGGACTAGGTAAATGTTACAACTTATTTGGTATTTGTATTTTCTTCGGCTGCGAAGTTATTCGAAATCCTGCTGGAGTAACGTTTGTGGGTTTGCTGGATCTCTGAAACGGGTAAGCGGATTGTAACCATCTTTTGTACATAACTTCTTAAGGATTAGTTTTAATTTGTTCGACAATAAAAAAACAAAAATAATGGACCGTTTAAAAATTATTTAGGTAAGTATGAAAACACTTCAATACGTCCTAATACTTTAAATAAAACCTCTAAAGACTTACTTCAAACGTTATTCTATTGCTTGTAACTACCTTCAAATGTATACGAATTTTCGTAAGAATACTGTAAGTGACTAAAAAGTTATGATGAAATGTAGCTCTCCACGTTCACGATCACAATATGTGCGGCCTTTTTTGGCCACCGATAAACCTGTGTGTGGATATATAAACTGAATGTTATGCCAATAATTAGTTGTTTAGTTCATTTGTCTACCTGTAGAATTTCAGCGTCGTACATATAATAATTTACGAGATAATTAAATAAAAGTCATTAGAAGGTGCAAGTCCGCGGTAATCCGACCATGTTTAGGTGGTTACAAAAAAGCGATCACCCAGTACATTGCGCTGTCTTTTAAAATGTTTAGTGTAATACACCTTACGATTTCGGTACAGTTGCGTGCAGTGTTACATACATTCAATATTTATTCATTATTATTACCTATTATTTATTTTGTTTTTTTTTCCTAATTGATCTTAAGCACAAGTTTCTTTACTTAAAATTTCTTTAGTCTTTTTTACTACCGGAGCTACAATCAACAGAAAATCTGCACTGGTCCGCTAAAATTATAAATATGTAGATACATGTATGAACGATTCACCTGACTTCAATAAATCGAAAATTTAAACCAATCAAGAATCGCTGATAATACATCCTTCGCTAGAACGCGGGAGGGGAGGGGCGAAGGGATGCTTCATTGTTTGCAATTTGCATCTAGTGCACTAAACTTGACCCTTAGGCAGATAATATAAGTACGTGTTGTAAAGTACGTGTGCGCTTCCGCTTTCTATTTTTGCAAATATTTATCGTATTCTTGAGAGTTCTTCAATAAGTGTGTACCTAATTACTAATAATAGGCATTAATGCTAATTCGATTCAATTTAAGTAATTGTCAATTCTTGTCTTAGGATATTAATTACTAATGCTAATATTGAAATTTCATAACGATCATAACTTTTAGGTAGGTATATCACTTATTACTAATTTTACATAAATAATTTACTCTTTTATAATTTAACTATTTTATTTTCTCCAACATTATTACAGAAATAATGCAATACAGAGTTTGTTCGCGATATGCTAGCCTAAGTCGATTCATCACTTAAAAAAATCCCCATCTATTCACAAAATACCTATTTACAACGCATACGTTACACTCTTCAAAACTTATCATTTCATTTTATTTCATTTCATATTTCTTAAATTACCTATACCTACCCTAAAATTAAACTTCAATTAACAAATACTACGCAGGTACCAATTCTATGAACAACTATAAACAATTCACCTAAACATTACGAGAAAACAAAAGCATTCAAAACAATACCTAATCTCCCGGCTGATTACTAATTATGCAATAAACAATCCTAAATAAAAAATATTTAAAAAACATGTACTTTTTTGTAACACTTATGTACATATCCGTAGTAAACTTGCAAATAATATCCTACATATTTTAAAAGCCAGCACAATGTACTGGGTGATCGCTTTTTTGTAACCACCTAAACATGGTCGGGTTACCACGGTCTTGCACCTTCTAATGACTTTTATTTAATTATCTCGTAAATTATTATATGTACTACGCTGAAATTTTACAAGTAGACAACTGAACTAAACAACTAATTATTGGCATAACATTCAGTTTATATATCCACACACAGGTTTATCGGTGGCCAAAAAAGGCCGCACACATTGTGATCGTGAACGTGGAGAGCTACATTTCATCATAACTTTTTAGTCACTTACAGTATTCTTACGAAAATTCGTATACATTTGAAGGTAGTTACAAGCAATAGAATAACGTTTGAAGTAAGTCTTTAGAGGTCTTATTTAAAGTGTTAGGACGTATTGAAGTGTTTTCATACTTACCTAAATAATTTTTAAACGGTCCATTATTTTTGTTATTTTATTGTCGAACAAATTAAAACTAATCCTTAAGAAGTTATGTACAAAAGATGGTTACAATCCGCTTACCCGTTTCAGAGATCCAGCAAACCCACAAACGTTACTCCAGCAGGATTTCGAATAACTTCGCAGCCGAAGAAAATACAAATACCAAATAAGTTGTAACATTTACCTAGTCCAGATAACTAATTATTTAGCTAAAATTTATTTCAATATTACAATTAAAAAAGAAAATGTCTGGCTGCGGTAACGTTTCAAACGTTACTCCAGCAGGAAATGTTTTTTTGAAATAACTAAAAAAGTTTAAGTGAAACAAATTTAAAAATTTGCTTAACAATTACAGAAGGGGAGCAACTAATTATCTCTAAAGTTTAAATGACCATTTTCGACATTATTTTGCTGGGGTAGCGCACACTAGGTTCATCCTGTAGTTGGAGTGGTGGTAGGAGTTTCCGGGTTGAGGTGAAGGCCTTCTCCATGTCTCCTGCGACGATGTCTTCGCTCTTATTCCGCGCCGCCGTAATCCCGTGCAGTACTCTCGACACGAATGTCCGAGTACGCGCAATGCAGCTCATTTTTATAGGATGTATTGTTCGCGCACGTGTTTACATGTTGTTAGGTTAAATGTTGTATTTTCTTGTCGTGTTTAGATAATACGATTCTTCAGGTTATTTCTTAACACTTACTATTAAAACTTCACTTATAATATCAAAAATAATCTAATTTAAATCCCAACCCCCTAAACTAGGGGATAGAAGTTTGTATGAGGCTTCAGCTAATTGGTCTGAAAATTGATTAAGTAAGGACTTCTTGGTAAGGCTTGGCTTGGTAAGGAATATATTGTTATGAGCAACTTATTTTTTTTTTTTAAATCCCAACAAAAAACATCATACCTTCTACCTACCGGCTATCGTCACATGGGAGTAAGGTGAAGAATTAATACTTTTCTATTATACAATAGCTCTTGTAGTAAGGAAATGGCCATAAGGCGTGTTTAGTTAGAAGTTTGGCGAGTCATATGGTTTCGTCTTGGCAACATTTTATATTAGGATGTTTTTGGTGGGATCATACATTATCCACTGATTCGTCTTATTTTGTAGGTATTGCTGGATTTTCTACATTATAATTAATAAGGCACTCTCTGGTATAAAAATATGTTCTGGAATGATTTATTTTTACTAATACATTTAGGTATAGATACAGTTACATATAAAAATATTTTACCTAGTATTGCCTCCTTCACTTGAAGGATACATCAAAATATTTACTTAGTCAAAGGACAATCTCTGAAATATTGACATGATCACAATCTGCCGAAGAATATATCTGAGGCAGTTTAGAGGTCAATCTCGGTTGTTATAGTATAGAATCTTCATGCTATGCGCTTTGCATGAACATTGCGCGCTCGGCTGCCTTCGAAAGCGCACGTCAGAGTGGTACCGCTATGCAAGAAAAATAAACGTAACTACAGGTCGCGTTCGGCGCGGTTATTAATCAACCACGAGAAACCATAAGCAGAATTACGAAATTCGTCAATCCTTCAATCTACTCCAATGCCGACTGAAGCCTTTTTGATTGTGTCACGACTGAGTTAAACATGCGTTTTCATATGTTTTGGTGAATCAATTTTTATTTACTGTTGTTTTTATTAAGACTCAAGATGTATGGGAACAAAGTTTTGGGTTTATTTTCTTTAGTGTTATTATCGTTACAAGTTACAACTGGTAAGAATTAATTTTTATTTATTACTTTTTAGTAAATTTAACCTGAGATTCCATGTATTATTTATTTTATGTAGTATTTAGGTATAATTAACAAAATCTAAATTTTATAAATCTCTCGTTTTCATTTTCTTCAGGGATAAGGATTTTTCTCATTGCATTTGAAAGTTTATTACATAAAAAACTAAACTTAAGCACGTACGTTTATAATTTTTATATTGTTTTTTCTCCTTATACGCGTGTCATATTCCTGAATTTGTGCTTATTATTTGGATCTGTTCTATTCCGTTTGGAAAACTCACTTTATGTTCGAGTATGTCAAGTGTTACAATTATCAGGCCTTGATACTTCGGTACCGCCTCATTAGAAATAGGGCCTAGGAACTAGGGCCATTGCGCTAATTGCCAGAAACGGCTATGATTGTCGCAACAGAGCGACGTTGATTGTCTTTAGGGCCTTTCCGACCATGCTGAGGCACCATGGACCGCACAACTACCCTGTAAGGTCTCCAGCAGAAGTTATCGGGTCCACTCATGTTGGGCAGCAGTAGCCGCACCAGTGGATGTGCTGTTCAGACCGATTTGGGGAGCAGACCTCGGAAGTCATGCCCCAAGGACCGACCCCCCATCAAATAATAGCTCCAGATATCGCATCAATTACTCGATGCTGATGTAAATGCTTTCTACGACCAGTTGTCCCCTGTTTGCGGGACATCATCAGGGCCATCTTCACAACAGGTTCAGATCGTATATGGGTTGAGACGACGAAGAATGTAAAAGGGAGGTTACATGCGAGGTTTCCCAGGGGTTGAAATTAGGACCTCTTCTGTGATACCTAGCGACCTAGCGTATAATGTGGTCCTAAAGGACCAGTTTTCCCCCAGGAGTGAGAGTCGTCTGTTACGACTACTCTCTCTACATGGTAGCACTTTATAAGACGGAAGTTGCAGTTTCTACCTACTTGCTCTTTAGAGTGGAGGGCATATCTAGGGTTAGGATAGTGCACTGCTCGCACCAGGACGCTATCGTTCCGCAAAGTAGTTTTTGGGCCGATTGACAGGGAGAAGCTTACGGATTTCCCCCGCCCAGGGCCTTGAAATCACAACCTGGGTCCCGGGTCCTACCTAAAGTAGGGCGCTTGAGGCCGGCATAGTCACGATGGCGTTGCCAAGGAGCCGGAGGTCCAAATGGATTTACCAGGAAGTCAACAAAAAAAGATAGGAAGGTAAAAGTTAAAAGTTAACGCATGGTCTCCTATAAAACCTGATTCAAGAACTTGACGCTTCAATGAATACGCATCTCAACAGCGAGAACGCTCTTGAATCGATATAATAGCAGCGCAAGGTAGTTGCAGAATAGGACTGAAAACTGTGCTCTCAGACAACGTGGCCCATCTACGTGTGTTCTTGGGTCTTGTTTTGTATTCTATGTTCTTATAGTGTTATCTATGTTCTTCTGTATCGCATAGACTTTAAACCGAACATATAAAATCACTGCGGGAATTTTTAGGAGGATAATGCATTTTGTTGCGGTGCTTATAGTAGCCGGATCAACCTCACGATTTCGCCCCACCATTTTTAGTGTGGTTAGCTTTCCACTGGAGATGGCTTGAGATTCTGACTTCTAGCATTATTTTCCAAACCATAAAAAATAAATGAGAGAGGATCCATACCTATAGGATCAAAGTCAATAAAATTGTCTCTTAAGTAATGACTCTTAAAGTCTGTTTTACCAAATAAGTATGCATTACATCGGACTTAAAACGCTTTAAACACCATAAACACTACCTGGTAATAAACAACTGTACCATTTTCGCATCCAAAGAAATATAGAATAAATCAGACTTCACAATATTTGGGTATATTCCTGGTTCAGGACTTTTGAACTTGCTCAGTTTAGTTTTAGTCTAGGTAGCACTGTGTACCATTTAATATAATTTTTGTTACTAGGTACTAATTAAATTCCCACAATATAGTGCACTGTACTGCTTTCGCATTGTTACTAGGCGGGTCAAAAGATGGTAGCCGCGTCAAACGCTTGCGCGCTGACAACATAGCCGTGGCTCGAGAACCTGCACAAGCACTCGACGCGCCAGAGCCTGAACCCTCACCAGTTCCGGTACCTTCAGCTTTCCTCAGTCCCTCTGTGAAGGAGTATCTTGAATTAGGGATGGCGATACCAGGTAAGTGACGTTCTTTTTTATTTATACTGATATGTCTATTATTCAAAATGTTGCGAACACTGAAATTTTAGCTGCTTTACGAGAATTTTTTTTAGTTTTTAAGAATATTATTATTAAACTGACTGCAGGGTCAGGAGGGTGAAAAATAATTTACGACCTCATACCAACAAAATTTACAAAACATTAAATATCATTAAAATTAATCATCAAATCAATCAAGCCTGTCGGAGGAGTGTGACCACAAACATCATGACACGAGATATTTATATATTAGAGATGTATTACAGAAAGTATTAAGAGAGCTTAATAGAGACTTTACTGATTGTTGGAGGCGTATATGCTCCTGGTTGGGATAATTATGATTAACATCATTACAATATACCTGAGTTAGATTCCTGCCTAAACTTTGTTTTTGTGGTCTGCACCTAATCATTTTTAAAATGGAAAATTGCCTCAAACCAAAATTGAACCTTAACGATGGGTGACAAACTCTTTGTGTTGAGACATCTATTACTTTGTAATTATTTTTATTACCTACGTATCATTTTATGTAAATTGAGTTTAATTATGGTTTGGATTAAAATAATAATTAACAAAAAGCTAATAGAGGCCGTAATTGCTATACTTATTTGAAGATACCTTGTGGGTGTTTCGTAATTTTGTATGTATATAGATACATATCTCAAGTGCTACAATATGATTAATATAGCGCATTTGGAAATACGGATGTGGGTGTATGAGAACAGAAGATACATGCTTTTCAAGTACATTTCAAATAATCTTATCAAATTTCTTTTGATCTCCTCAATTCAATTCAAGTCAATCAATTTGCTATAAAACAGATTGTTATGAACTCATGAGTGCGTGTTGGCCATTGAATTTTGTGCCATGACAGGTTAAAATAAGTATATACTGAACCCCTATAGTTTTAGGTAAATTTATTAGATAAATTTTTACTTTTAAATTATTATTATATTCACTTCTTCTACATGTAAACTTTAAGTGTTCCAAACATGATATGCTTCCGTGTTCCATAATATCTCTTTAAAACGGGGGACCAAGAGAAGGGTACTAATATATAGATAATAAGACTTAAATCGTACTCAAAATTAAATTCAATTCAAACTTCCTCCATAAATGATTATACCATGAGGGCAACAGACCTTTTTTTATAAAAACACCTTCTTAAATTGGGTTACTGCTTCTGGAAAAATATCTGAGTGAAGTGTATTTTATAATACATGTAGTTAATTGTTAAGGTAAACACCTGAGTTGACCATTAAACATTGTATATTTCTTTACTTGGAATTAATTCTTTTCTTTCATAATTTTTTTTTAAATTTTTATACATTGTATTTAAGTTTAACTAACATTTTGCAAATGTATAAAAAACTTAAACAGTGTCAATTGAGCGAGCTGACACAGAATTCACATAATTTTAGGTAATTAATCAAAGACTAAATACTGTCCCATTTTTAAAGATAAAGATACGTTTATTTGTTGAAAGATGGATCCGTGAAAATGTTCATATTTTTTGCGTTTTTATCGTTTTAATGTTAGGTAATATACTATGGTAGGCATGTGTACCTGTACTATGTGCAAATGTATTTTTTCTAAGATCAGGTGTCATATTTGGCTTCAAAGTTTTGTTGTGACATTCAATGATAATTAATTATTACACAATATTAGAACTATCATCTTGGTCAATATAAATTAATTATCTTTGTTAAAATAGTACTGTTACGTACCTTTTTTTATTAATTATCCTTGTTGCTTTTGCTTGCTTGACACACGTCAAGCAACCAAAAGCAACATGGATAATTAAATGGTGTTGTAAGCTCAACTGCTAATGTGTAAGGCTTCTTAGAATTGACATTTCTGACGAAGATTATTATTATTTGTAGTAATCAGGTTTTGGTACTGGCAGGATTAAACTCTTTAATGCTGCGACTGTAAAAATTAGAAATAAATATAATAATCTATCTGTAATTATTATTTGAACAGACAAGCCGATACCAGACAAGCTGTGAATGTGTGAACTTACCTTAATATTACAAGTCCACCTATGACTTGTATGCATGTGTGTGCCACATGGTTATCAAATTACAGCCTAATTTATGAAATTTAAGTAACTGAAGGTGTTTTTCAAATCGTCGCTATCAAAAATATTTAATTCATTACTTTTGCTCTCAAAACAGTTACTTTCCATCCCTTAAGTACACCATTTAGTTTGTGGGTAAAAGAAAATCACTTTCTGTACAAACAATACACAATTTATTACGCTTTCTGTAAAGCCTAACAGGCACCCAAACTTTTTTTTTTAGAAAAAATAAATTTAATATAAAATGTGGGTATTATTGACGTGGGTTACATAATACTAGTTTTATTTGATAATCCCTCCAACCTTCTAGCTAAATACTCGTGCGCGGAGTGGGTTTACGTTGGTAGTGGACTGGGTGGGATTGAGTGAGCAACCTCTTGACCGCAACTCCGATGTCTTAGCCGTTAAGCTATAATTAACATAAGTCATTTTCAGATATAGAATAAATTTAAGACAGTTAATTTATTGGAAAATTACAGTTAAGTCAATTTATTATCGAAACGAGCTTATCAGTCGTTTGTTTTCATTCATCTAAGGGTTTTATTCTGTATTATTTGTCAAATTATTAGTGAAAGTTATGGCGTTTAGAAATACCAGAAAGTGTGTATTCATTCAAGAAATGCATTATTAAGATCTTTGACATTATTAAGATTTTTACTGGTTCACAAAGAAAGTGTTTTAGTTTGACTCAGGATTCCTTTATTGTTTGTTCAAAAGCGTTTGCTATGCGATACTAATACCTAATTGCTGACTATAATTGCTTGTAACCATTACACACACGAGCACAAAAATAACCTTCAAAATTTGATTTAGAAGAATATCTTGCTCGTACTTTGGCGATTTTCACAAAGACTGTCTAACAATTAAACAACATATTCTTAGTGAAAGCACTGAAAATGCGGTCGATGAAATAAAATGTGTGAAGTGACTTGCTTTTTCATTTTAAGACGAGAGAAAAACGTAGTACCATGGTCAAGGTTTCTACCATATTATGTAAGTCAAATAATGCCGGCTTTTCTGGCACCTGGGGTAGTAGATGCAGTACTATCGGAAGATTTTTCTTTACATATAAAATTACTTGCTCTGACTGACTGACCCATTCATCAACGCAGAGCCTAAACTGATGGTGCTAAAAACTAAACTTTTTAGCAGCTGATGCTTTTTATGTTGTAAGCACCCACTAACAAAAGGATTTTTGTGAAATTTCAACCGTAATGGATTAAAATAAGGGATGAACGGTTGTGTGGAAGTCTGTCAATTTCAAAGTAAAGCAAGCGATTTAAAACACTGACTATCAATTATTTCTTTAATTGGTTTATGTAGTTTTTAATCTCCAAGTTGCACTATAGCCTTTGGGCGAACACGTCATTAGATCGTAAAATAAATACATTATTAACCGTTATTTTTTAAACAATGAACATATTTTTTTAAATTATAAAACTTCGAGATTCCCATTGTAATGAATGGCTTTTAAAATTTAGAACAAAAGCTAGTCGTTTTACTGGTTAGAAGGTCGGTCGGACTTATGGCTCCGTGCACCGTGTAACCTCGCTCTCTGCAAACTTTGGTTGTTACAGTATAACTTTGCTCTTAATTGTACTAACAATCGTAGGTATATGCAGACGTATGAACGAGGCCATTTATATCATAGAGCACGGGTTTAGGCAACTCACCCATATTCGGGCATTTGCGTAATTCATTAGCATGAATGTTCAAGGGATGGTGAAAGCTTGTTTTTGTTAGTTAAAGAGTTGATTATTGAGTAAAAATTATTACATTTATTATTGTTTTATCTTTAGATTTAAAAGAAATCATGTCTTCTTTTGATATCAACCACTGTAAGTAAACGTAGTAATTCTTAATATCGCCTATTTTTAATAAGGTATAATCTTGTCATAGTAATCACGTAATTTTAAGTTTCAAACTTGCGGTAATTTTAAAACTCATTTTTAGAAAGCACATCATTCAAGGTGGTTTAAGGTGGTGTGAGTGAGCATGTATGCTACACAAGTCTTCAAACAGTGGAAATAGCAGCTTCAAACAGTGTTAAGAATGTTGTGTAATCATGTATTCCAGTTAGCTTTACGACATTCACTGTCTGATATTTTTTCTTTAGATTAATTTGGTCATTATCAATGTTTATTGTTCCTAACTATAGGAGCAACAAGTGTTTTCTTTTCCAAACAGCTTTTGTAAGAAAAGTCCCATTAAAATAAAGTCAATAATTACTGTTGTTGGTATACGGTATACGTAAAACTGAATTTGACATTGTAAAGTGAAGATTTAAAAAAACCTCTAATGTTTACTGTGTGTTACTGTTGTTTATTGTAATTATATAGTATAAAATATTGTTTTACATTAATTCATAACCATTTTTGGTACAAGACTGAACTGGATTAACTGTATATTAGCATTTATGATTTCTACGAATACCAGGTAGTAATTTTCGAATTAGCAAAACGCTAAAATTTAAAATACTTTTGATATTTTTTTAAATAAATTATGTATTATCAAATGGTTTTACCTCGTAATTTTAATTTCATAAGAAATATTTGTACTTAATAACAAATGTCATATTAAGCAAAGATATTGACCTAATATTGTTCATAATGCAAACATGATGCAACAAGGTAAATAAACCATATGATTTGTACTTGACAAAGTAACGCATGCAGTGTGTTGAAATGTGGACAAATACAAGTGAAGAAGGAATAAGGATCTCCACTTCTATCATTGTGGTTCTCCCTGCTGCAAAAAAAAATTAAGCTGCATATAATTTGAATAATACTTCTGTGTTTTACGTACGTCCACACGTTTTGATGCATGATTATAGTGTAAAATAAAGTTCATTGAAAATTTGAGCAACACTTAACAATTATCACATATCAAAATGTGTCGA